GGCGCCCGCTGCCGCCCGGGGCTCCGGCCGCTCTGCGGGGCCCGGCCCCAGCACCGGCGCGGGGCCGGCAGCCCGGAGCCCTGCCTGCGTGGCGGGATGGGCAGCTCGGGCTGCTCGCTGCAGCATGCTCCGGGAGCCAGCCCATGGCCGGGGTGTCCTGCTGCGGGATGCTCCAGGTGCCCATCCCAAGGGTGCCTGCGCCAGGGCAGCATGCTCCGTGTGCCCAGTCCTGGCGCATCCCTGGTCCCAGTGGTCCACACCAATGGGTGTGGCAAGGCCTGACGATGTCCGCGCCCAGGAACACAGCTCGGCCCCCGGCCCTGTGGACCTGCTACCCGGGGGCATCGCCCCGCTCCCGGGGTGCCTGCATCCCTGCCAGCGACGGCTGCCATGGCAACGCAGGGTACCATGGTTTCCCCTCTGGCTGCCGTTGCCTGGATACGAGCCCCCGTGCTGGGGGGAAAGGCTGCTCCGGTGGCCGGCGGCTCCCGCGGCCCGGGCCCTGGGCTCGCACCTGCAGCGGGGTTAGAGCCCAGCCTGGAGCGGGGGAATCCCGGCGCGGGCCGCTCTCAGGAACGGCAGCTAATTGACACACCGTTTGCCAAAGCCGCTACTTCTGTTGTTCAATATTTTGGTCACACTGTAGCAGTGTTTAACGACCAGACACTTTCTCCTGGAGAGGCATACGGGAGTGGAGGAAGAGCACGTCTCTCCGGGTGTGTAATTAACGCTCTGACAGACATGGGTATCCCAATCCATGTGGAGGAAACTCAGAAATCTTGCAGGAATGTTTTCCGTGGGAGGGAAAGTGACAGGTGGTTTGTGTGGATATTGAATAAGCTTTGCAGTGTGAGAGCTGCCTGTCAAGGAGCRCTGCATGTGCACTAAAGCTTGCAAAGTGCCCCGTATCGTTTCAGCCAGCCTGATGTGCTCCCAGGGGCTGTAGAGCCCTGTCTCTGCAGGGGTTTGTAGCCGGCCCTGAGCAGTTTCAGCCCCAGGTTGCAAGAGGGTTACCCCWGCGAGAGCCGGCAGGAGAGTGCGGAGATTGGAAGCAGCTCAGAGCAGAGGGACGGGCAGTGTGGAGAGCGCGCTGCGGCGCAAAGCACAGCCGAGGTGCTGCGGAGCCAGGCACCTSTTGCAGCTGCCCGCTGCCCTGCAGGAGAACAGCCCCAGGACCTGCAGCTGTGGCGCGGCTGCATCTCCCCGCGATGGGACCTGCCTTGTGCACTTGCCTGTAGCGCAGCTTGTTCCTGCACACYTATGTGCTGAGGGAAGGCAGCGGCGAGGGGCGTGCTTTCAGCAGGAGCTTGGGCTCCCGCGGCGAGGAGAGCCCCGAGGCGGCAGGCGGGACGCCTCGGGCACAGCGGGCAGCAGCGGCAGCGTGCGCGGCGCTCCACAGGGGCGAGTGCAGCGAGGCAGCACCRGGCACGGCCGTGGGGCGCTCTGTTTTGCCTTGTGCTCGGCTGTGCTTGGAGCCGCCGTTCAGAGCAGCGCGGAGCACATCACGCCGGAGAAAATGCCTGGTCCTTGATGCTCTGCTGAGTATGGGAGTATTGTTGTAGAGCAGGAGGCATGGAGCCTTGAAATACCGCTGTTATAGCCRTGCTTTCTGGGGATTAGGACTCTTCTCAGCGCCAGGACCTACCAGGTAACGTTTCCTCTGCTTTTGACCTATGTAGTTCGGGCTGTGTTGATGCCAGGTGCTGCGCTGCCAGACCTGGCGTGCCCCTGAGCGAGCAGAGCGCAGGGCTGGGTGGTGGGCTGGGTGCGCCGGGCATGTTTGGCAGGTGCATTTGCTGTGTTTTGCCTTTCGGGTGCCGACTGTCTGCAGAGCAGCAGCGGCAGAGCTGGTGCTTCCTTCGAGGAGGCTGGCTGCCCCTTGCCTTGCCCCGGGCCGAGGCGGCTGGCGGCAGCCGCCTTGGCTAGCGCCCCTCGGTGGGCTGGCAGCCGGCCTGCCGCAGTTGGGCGCAGAGCTGTGCCGGGCCGCAGGGCCGCGTCCTGCTGCGCGCAGGGGGCTCGCACCATTGCGTGTTCCTGAGCGTGACGACCTGCTTGGGCTCCCGTGGCATCCGGCTGCCGCGCCRCACTGGCAACCTGGCTCTGCCCTGGCGCTGGCTTTCCCAGGACTGTCCCCTCTGCTTCACAAAACCGCCCCAAGCCTGAAAGGGACAGTTGGTTCTTGGTAAAACCYTCTTGGCCTTCTGTCCGGTCAGCGTTTGAATCAACACCGAACTGGGGAAGTGCCATCCCTCTTAGAGCAAGGAAGGGTGGAAGTCTCTCCTTAGCCCTCGTTTTGGAGCAAGAGGCACAACAACAGGCATGTTAATAGCCAGATTGATGCTGACGTGAAATGGCAGAGGAGCACGTCTACGCAGAGCTGGAAATGTCCATTCGCACATGCACGCTCTTAAGTGCTCCAGGCGAGCGCGCAGTGCTGTCACGGTCTTGGGGGCTTCGCACAGAAACTAGCGATTTTAACTAGGTCTGATCTTCAGGAGATGCCCTGAGGACCCTGACGGAAGGAGGAGGCTGCCCAGCGCCGTGCCGTGATGGCTGAGACTTGACAGGGCTGCTCTATGYGGCACGATGGAGAGGAAAAGGCTGCCTCGAGACCGCTAGGGAGTTACCTGCCTCGCTCCCGCAAGGTTTTCCATGCCACGGAGAGCTGTTCAGCAAGCTGCAGAGACAGGGTCAGCYTGCCTGAATCCCCCTGCCTCACACGCCTGCGTGCACCCATGCACCCGTGCACGCTCCCCAGCAGCGAGCAGAACTGCAAGGCGGGATCCTCCAGGAGCAGCGTGCGAGCACCGTGCTGTGCTCGCATGCAGCTCGTGTGCTGGCCGTGGGCTCCCAGCGGTGCAGTGGGGATGAGCTACCCGGCACCGCAGGGCTGCAGGGCCCGATCCCAGAGCCGGGCGCTTGCTCCCCAGCAAGACTGCTGGGCTGTGGGATCTCGCTGGCAGGCACCGTTCGTGGCATCTCCGTGCCTCTGTTCCCTTGGCGATGGTAAGGGGACAATAATATTTTATTTTCGTCTAAAACCTGCCAGGTGAGTCAGGATGCGTGGGGCAGGAGCACCGGGGGCTGCTGCCCCACATCCTGCGTGTCTCTGCCTCGCGCAGCACCCTGGCCTGCCTTGCCGCTTCAGCAGGAGAAAAACATGTTTTGAGTGGGGTCCCAGACGTGCCGTCGGGCTCAGCGGTGGGGCTGCGAGGTCGGCCGCCCTCACGGGGAGAAGTTTCCTGCGGGAGGGGCAGGGGAGCCCGGCCCTCGCTGCACGGCTGCTGTTGCGCCGCTGCCTTGGTGCAGAGGCGCAGCTGGCGGCGCTGCTCAATGGAGGGCAGGGAGCAGCAGCTTCTGGTCTGCAAGAGCTTCCTGCCCCGGAAAAGAGCACACCTTCTGCAGAGTTTGCTCCCCTCACTCTCTGTCGGCTTCACCAAAACACAGGTGGGCAGCTAAACGCAGCCTGGAAACGTGTAGTGATTTGCAGAGCGTATGCTTCCCAGGCGGAGGACTGGGCTCGCTTGCTCGCCAGCCTGTTGCGTTTGTTTTCCTAGCAAGGCCACGGCCGGSCCTTGTGGTTCGCTTGTGCCAAGAGCCATTCCGAGCCATTCCCAGGGCCCTGGAGGGCCCGAGGGGCTGGAGCTGCAGGCCCCGGCCTCAGCTCTCCCACAGCCTCCCCGGCACAGCTCTTCCTCACAGTGCTGAGGAAGGTGAGGGGCAGGAGCTCGGGCGTGAGTGAAAGTGCCCCAAAATAGAAAACGCGCAGGCTGGGGGTTAGGTGATCAGGCTGGGCAGGTAATCGCGGCAGGTGATTAGAGCAGAGCTGCAGGTGAACCACCACCTCTGGTCCCCCCGGCTCGGCTCCTGTGCCCCCCGAGCTGCTTGTACCCCCGACAGCCTCTGCATGCAGGGGAGATTATTCCCCGCCTGCCACCAAAGGAGTCAGACAATGAAAACCCCTGATGAATCATCTGGTCAGCAAATAAAGGCATCATTGTGGGACGTTCGAGATCCGGCTGATAGCCGGATTCGTGCAGCAGAGGCCTGCGCTGTGCGGTGTCCACAGGCGCGCGCGCCGCRCTCCGTTCAGGTAAGGGCACAGATTCCACACTGCGGGCACAGGCAGCAGTAAATAAAGAGCAGAAGAAAATGTGCAACTCCAAGTTATTGTATCACCAGCTGTTGGTTCTTTGTACATGTCTCTAAACCCTAGTAATTAGGCAGAATTACGTGCCTTGTGCAGAGAGGGGGCCGGCCGGGCGCGGGAGCCGGTGGCACASTGCTGCGCTGCGCTCCTCAGTGCCAGCGCCAGCTGCAGTGACAGGGAATTAAGCCCTCCACTGTTCCGAATAAGCGTGTTCGCCTCCAAATGACAAGACGAGGAAGAGGAGGGGGGGCCACGAATTATCATGAGATGTGACTTGTGCTGGTGATTAGGGAGGGTGCGGGGAGCGTGCTCCCTGTGCTCACATCCCAGCGTGGTGCCCGGGGCCGCTGCTTCTCTGCGCGGATGCCCCGCCGGGCCTGGCTCTGCGGCCCTGCGGAGCTGCAGGGAGCCCCCCCCCCCGGCTCCCTTCCCTTCCCTTCCCTTCCCTTCCCTTCCCTTCCCTTCCCTTCCCTTCCCTTCCCTTCCCTTCCCGGGCGCCGCGCTCGTTGCTCGCTCCATGTATGGCCACGGCGCTGCCCGGCCGCAGCCCGGGGTGGTGCTGGCCGCGCGCCCGCAGCGTGACGGCCTCTGCCGCCGAGGAGCCGGGGGCGGTGGCTCCGTGCGGGCTGCGCCCCTGAGCACTCGCCCGCTTTGCACCTGCTTGCTGGCCCTGCTCCCCTTCGCYGCGCCCCGGCTTGCCCCCGAGAAACAAAAGAACAGTGAAGCGACGCGCTCCGGGCACTTAGCGCCTGCCCACGGCAGCAAAGCAGCTCAACAGGCACGCACCTCCCGTGCAGGGCAAGCAAGCCTGGCGGCTGGATGAGCAGCACGTACCTCCCTGCGCCCTCCCGMCCGCCGGCTCGGCCGCGGCCCTTGCGGGAGACACGGGGCCTCCTGCCTCAAGCCCTCGGCTCCCCCGCGGAGCCCTGCTGCCTGCTGCAGGCTCCCGCTGCCGCGCGGCGCGTGGGCAGCCCGCGAAAGGGCACTCGTGCCGGCCTGGCCGCGAGCTAATGGGTCACGCGCGCGCTGCGCGCCCTCCCGTGCAGGGCAGCGCTGGCCGGCGCTGGCTGGCCCTGCAGCGCAGCGGCGCGGCCGGCGTCCCGGCGGCACCGCCACGGCGACACCCCAGCGGGGCATCCCGGCTGCGATGTGGCGCTGAGCGCCGGTCCCGGGCTCTGCTCCGGCAGCGAGTGTGGCCGTGGCCTGGCTGCCCCTGCGTCAGCCCTGCCTGGCCGCAGCCCTGCGAGACTGAGCAGGGCTTGGGGCACCATCCGGCCAGGGCCAGGGCCAAGGCCAGAGGCGCTTGTACCGGAATGTAATTGCGATGCTAATTGGGAGCAGGGAAGGCATGCTGTGGGCGAAGGGCACCGTGCTGACCTTCACGGAGAGATCGCAGCCCTCGTGCAGGCCCCGCAGTGCGCGATGCCAGCATGAGATGGGGCCGAGGCCTTGCCTCGTGTGCTGTGGCCCTGCCTGGCATCCCCTTCACTCCCAACGTGGCTCTGCCAGTCCTGCCGGGCTCCGTGTCCCTTCTGCCCGCAGTGCCAGGGCTGTGCACTGACCTCTGCTGCTCCCCTCTCCACAGCAGCCATGGAAGCAGTGCTCATCTTCCTGTGCTCCCTGTTGCTGCCAGCGGCTCTCACGGACGGTAGGTGGTTTCCACACCGAGGGGGAGGAAGAGGAGGAGGAGAAGGAGGGGTGCCAGCCTGCTCGGAGGGAACTGCAGCGGGGCTGCATGCAGGGGCCAGCGGGCAGTGGGACGCCAGGGTGATGGGAGGCAGAGCTGTGTCCTGGGTGCCACCAGCRGCAGGGAGCTGCCCTGGGGCCTCTGCTGGGACACACGGAGGGTGCGGGCTCCTGCCGGAGCGTGCTGCCGCGCTCATGCCAGCCTGTCTCTGCATTTCCAGTGAGCACTGAGGAGAAGGAGAAAGATCCCTTTAACTATGGTGAGCACCGCGTGGGGAGAGCGAGCCGGGCTGTGCCCCGGGGGTGCAACACGAGGGGCTCTCCCTTCCCGCGGCCGCTCGTGCCAGCCTGCCCCTTCTCCCGCAGACTACCAGAGCCTGCGGATCGGGGGGCTGGTGTTCGCCGTGGTCCTCTTCACCGTGGGCATTCTCCTTATCCTCAGTGAGTGGGCGCTGCTGCGGCACCGGGCGTGCGGCTGGGCCGGGAGGGCTGCTCCTGTGGGAGCCGTGGCCCTGCAGGGCTCCGGCTGCTTCCCGCCCCGCCACGCTCACCGCTTCCCTCCCCTTGCAGGCCGCAGGTGCCGCTGCAGTTTCAGCCAGAAGCCCAGGTGAGTGCGGGGAGCTGCCCGCCGCGTCCCCGCCGCCGTGCCCCACGCGGGGCGCGCGTCACACGGGACACAGCTCCCTTGGAGGAGCTCTCACCTGCTCCTGGCTCTGCAGGGCGCCAGGGGACGAAGAGGCTCAGGGCGAGAACTTAATCACCGCCAACGGTAAGAGCCGCTCAAGGGCGGYGTGCGAGCGCTGCCAGCCGTGCCGCGGCAGGGCTCCCGGGGCAGCCGGCTCGGAGCTGGGCCCCGGCTGAGCCCTGCCACCCCTCTGCCCTTGCCCTTGCAGCCACGGCAGCGCCGAAAGCGGAGAACTGAGCGCCGGCCGCGCGGTGAGTGGGGCTGCCGGGGCCGGGGCCGGGCGGGCGGGCGGGCAGCGGGCCGCGCTGCGGGAGCCGGACGAAGCACCGTGAAGCCCACGTGGCCGTCGGCACGCGGCCTGGCTTTGCTGTCCCTCCTCCCGCTGCTACCGTGCCCACGGTCGCGCGCGCGGCCTGACCGGCAGCCCTGCGCCCCGCAGCCCCGCAGAGGCGCGGACGGGTGCGGGCACTCCCGCGAGGAGGCTGAAGCCGCAGGCCCTCTGAGGTGATGCAACGACGCTGTGTCCATGTTCCCCTCCGTACTCCGACTTCTGTCTCTGCCATCCCGGCCGAGCTCACCGTCCTCTCTGCCTCCAGTGCCGTGTGACGTTGGTGTCAGGCGACCGTTCCCTCTAGGGCTAGTTGTTGCTGCTGTTGTAGTCGTGACTCCCTCCTCACCTGTCTCGTGCTGTGAGTGTGACGGGCTGTGAGGGCGGCGCGGCGCGGGGTGCGTGCAGGGCGCTGCGCGAACGGCAGCGGCCCAGCCCGGCAGGAGCTGCTGCGGGGCCGTGCCCGCCGTGCCCGCTGCTGTGGCCGTGCTCGGGCACGCCGCAGCACAGCCCAGGGGCTGCCGGCCCCGAGCCCCGCTGCCCAGCGCGGTGCCAGCAATAACCGTCCTGCGCCTGCCGGCACCAAGCCTGCGACCAGGGCTAAGGCCGTACTGCAGCCTGGCAGCGTGCCCGCGGCCYCCCTCGCGGGCCCTGATAGCCCCGTGTGCCCGTCCTGCCGTGTGTGGGGTGACTGTGGTGTCCCTACTGTGCCCCCAGTGTTAACACAAAGCCAAGAAGTACTCGTGGTGTCCAGAAGTGACAAACCTTGACTGTCGTAAAATAAACCCAGCTGTTGTCTTTCCTTTTAACCCGGCGAGTGTACTGCTGTGGCCAAGGGCTGGTCGGTGCTGTGCTCTAGGGGAACAGGAATAAAACACGGTTTCTAGCGGTGTGTGGCTGCGCAGTTTGCAGGGGGTTCCACGGGGCAGGGCCGGAGCCGGCATGGGCACAGGCTGCGCATTGTGCGGCCGCGGTGCCAGCCGCCTCCGTGCCGCGCGCTCGCCTGCAGCGCTTCCAGCAACATCCCGCGCAGCGGCCACAGAGCCSCCTTGTTCCCCCGCGTGGCACCAGCCCCGCAGGAGGGTGCCCGGCGCCGCCGGGCGCGGGACAGCACCGGGCTCCCGCGCAAGCAGCCAGGCTGCAGGCAGCCCCTGCCCGGCGCTGCCGTCACCCGCAGCCCCCTCTCGTGGGGCCTCCCGCGCCCGGGCAGGCGACAGCCCCGTGCCTCCCCGTGTGACTGCGATAAACATTACACGGCGGCCGTTAATGTTTAATGAGGTTCGCCTCCCAATTAATGTGCTCTCCCGGGCGCGCGCCGGCAGAGCGAGGGACGGCGCGCCAGCACCATGGGTGACGGTAAGGATGCTGCGGGCAGCCGGGCCCTGAAACTGCCCCTGGCCGCAGCGGTGGCACCCTGCTGGGCCYGGGGACTGTGGCAGCCGCTGCTGCGTGCCCACTGCTCCTGCGGGAATAGCGAGCACAAGGAGCGCTCGCGCTTGGGCCCCCCGGCAATGCCCGGTGCGAGGAGGGGGCTCAGTTTGCGTGGCGCACAGAGGGGCGAGCGCTCAGGTAAGGCGAGTGGAGCGGCCCCGCGTGCTCCCCGGCCAGGGCGACGTTGGCAGCGTGCGGGGAGGCGGCGGGACACGGCGCCGTGGCAGCTTGGGAGCCCTCTGCTCGCTGGGATCTGTGGATGCCCCGCACTCACGGGGTCCCCCTCTCTTGCAGAGCAAGCGCCCGAGCAGGGCCTGGACAGGTTCAGCTACGGTAAGTGCGCGCGGGCCGCGGGCCGCACGGGCGCCGGCAGCTCCCGGCAGAGCGGCACCGGCACCGGCACTGGCACCGGCACCAGCGCGGCCTCCCCAGTCGCCCTGCTGAAACCCAGACGCCTCTCCCCCTCTCCCAGACTATGACACCATCCGCAACGGGGGGCTGATCTTTGCTGTGGTGGCCTTCGCCATCGGGCTCCTCATCATCCTCAGTAAGTGGGGGGGGTGGGCTGGCCGCGAGCTGCCCGTGAGGCTCCCGCTGAGACCCGCTCCCTGCGCAGCGCCCGTTGGGAAGGAGACCACGTAAATATTTAGCGCGTCCCTGCCAGCGCGAGGCCCCGGGGGAAGGTCACTAATTAAAAATAGCAGAGAAGACGCTGACATTTCAAGAGGGCGGAAGCAGCTCCCACAGAGAGCCTGGCGCAGTGCAGGGCATGCAAAGCCACCAGCAAGCACCCTGTGCCTCGCTCCGCGGGCCGGGGGCTGCCGCCCACCGCAGGGCTGGCTCCCAGCCCTGGCTGGTCAGGGCAGAAGGGCATGGACGCTGAGGAGCGCAACGATGGGGGCGATCTGCGGGTGACCAGGGCACTAGGGGCTCTCMGGAGCGCTCTGCTGGGGCAATAGGCTCGGGGCACAGCGGCCTGACGGTCACACATGAGGCCCAAGTGGCTTCAGCTGCTCCTCTTGCCCCCAGGCCGGCGGTTCCACTGCGGCGCCAAGAAGAGGAGGAGGTGGGTATGGGGTGGCTGTGGGCCGCCCCACTGCTCTGCGAGGCGCTGGGGGCGGCTCTCACACCGTCTCCCCACTCCTCACATTCCTTCCGCAGACAAGGAGAGGAGGCCGAGCTGTAGCCGCAGGTGGGTGCAGGAGGCAGCACTGTGCTGCGCTGCAGGACGGGCTCCTCGGGGTGCCCCGCGCCCGCAGCAGTGCCAGGAGGCCGCCCTCCAAGGAAGGGGCGTCGCAGGGCCGGCCTGGCAGGGGAGGAGGTGATGCCCCATGSCACGGGACACGCTGCGCCCCGCTGCGTAACCTCGGCGCCCGTCTGCTTTCAGCCGTGCGCGCCGAGAGCTTCGCCCAGAGCTGCAAAGTCCTCGGCGGGGCCGTGCCCGCGCCGCTCCGCTGGCCGCCGGCCCGCCTGCTCCCGCCGCGAGCCGCGCGAGCGCTCCCGCGCTAATAAAGTGCCAGCTGAGCAAGCCCCAGCTTTGTGCCCGAGGCGTCTGCATCACCCGCGTGCCTGGCCTTGAACCAACCACTTCTCTGGCCTGCWAGCATCTCCGAAGGGAGCTTCGGGAGAGGTTGCCACTGCCTAATTCCCCTCACACTAACGGCACGGGACCACGGCCACCGCTGCTCACCAGGGCCACCAGGATGCTGGCCCAGAAGCGCCGCTCTCCACTGGCATGCGAGCCCACGCTGCCCTGTGCTGGCAGCCAAACGGCTCTTTCTAAAAATAATCCCYGTGGCAGCTGAGCAGCAAGCGAGGCGGGCAGCCCTTTGCAGGCAGGGTGCTCAGGCCGACACAGACACCTAGCGACGAGGCGAGGCAGTGGCGGCGCGGCGGCCCCTCGACGCAGCGGAGCGCGCCCGTGCCGTCGCCATCGCGCCGCCCTTGCAGCTGCCCGCGCCAGCCGAGCCCCGGCGAGCGGGCACCGGCGGCGCCGCACAGGCAGCGGGAGCAGCCCGAGCGCACGCTGCCTGCCCCTGCGCCGCCACCAGCGCCAGCCACGCGGCACGGCCGCGGCACCYGGCAGCCCCGCAGCCCCGCAGAGCGAGCCGGGCCCCGCAGCGCCTGCAAGCACCCAGGCCCGGGCACTGCCGCCCGCTTGCGCCAGCAGAGCCCGGGCAGCTGCCATGGCTAGGGCTCGTCTCCGAACCCCGCAGAGCCCTGTGAGTTCGGGTGTCTGTGCCCTGCAGCCCCCCATGCCCACGGCGTGGCCCACCTTGCTCCCCCACCTGCGGCACAGGTCAGGCGCTGGCGGTGAAATAGGATTAGCCGTGGGAAGGTTATTAGGCAAAATCCACGCAATTTGTATAATCTGAGGTACTTATTTAGCGCACTAAGGAGATTATTCCGAAATATAATTTGGACGTGACGCTGACCCGTTAATAGAGACTCATTAGGGCTTTGCACAGCTCGAGCAGGACCTGGAGTGTGGTGGCAGTGGTTCAAGAGCTGCCAGGTAGCGACACAGAGGAACTCCGGGCTGCAGGTCCCTTGCACTGGCACCCAGGGCCAGCCACGCTCGCAGGCAAGGAGGAGCAGATGCCGTGCATGCACTCGCCCTGTCCCCGCCACGTCCTGTGTCCCTGTCCCCAGCGCCAGTGCTGAGGGCTGGATGCAGCGGTGGCCGGGCCAGGGGCAGCGCTGCGGGCAGGGCCCCCACGGTGCCGAGCAGATTAGTGCGTGGCAGCAGAAAGCCGTGTCTGGCCGGCGCGCAGGGGGTCCCTGTCTGGGCTGCAGATGGCATTAATAGCATTAGTGTGTGCCACTGCCACGGGCGCTCCTGGGGCTGCAAGCTGGCCCTGGGCAGCGGGCACAGGGGCAGGAGCACCTCAGTGCCTGGGCACAGTCCTGCAGAGACAGGGCTGGGACGGGGGCTGGCATCCTGCGTACGCAGCGGGCCCCGCGCCAGCCGGCGGCCTCGCGGAGCCTTGGCCTTCACCCCTGAACCAGGCRATCTCCGGGGATTTCCCTCACACTCTCTTGAGCCATTAATCTGCTCAAAGTAGGTCTTTTCTGTGGCAAAAAGGGGATTGAGTAAATAATACAGTGGAYGACTGGAGTGTCCTTTCCGTTCGGGAAGACGCGCAGCTTGGAGCGGCTTCYGCACGGCGCCTGCCAGTCCTGCAGCAGCCCGCGAGCGGAGCCACGCAGGGAGGGCTCTGGGCACACGCGGCTGAGCCGGGCTGCGCTTAGCGCGTGGCCCAAAGTGCCGGGGCGCCTGCAGCTCCTCACACGCAGCCCGCAGCGTGYGGGGCCGGCCAGCGCCGCCGCGCACCTCCGCAAGGCCAGGGACGCGTTCGATCCGCAGGGAACGGGAACACGCAGCGTCTCCAGCTTGGTAAGGCTGSGAGAGCGAAGGGTGACGCCTGAGGCCAAAGAGCAAGGCGCAGGGGCAGGGGCAGCGGTCAGAGCCAGGTGTGCGCCTTGGCCTCCCCCTGCTCTGCTCCTGAACAGGCAGCGCAGCCAGCAGCAGCGACAGGGGTGTGGAGCAGTGGTGCCGCCCTCCTGACTGAATAAGTAACGTTTCGCTCCTCAGTTCTGTGTTCTCTGTGCCCCAAAGCAGCTGGTTTTGCAAACTAGCCGATCACACGTAAGAGGGACGCAGCAGGGCCAGCAGAAGCGCTGTGCACGGGCATGCCCCTCGGGCTGGACGCCGAGAAGGGTCCTCGTGGATCCGCTCTGTGCCCTTGTGCTGTGCCCTGCCCCTGCCACCGCAGTGCTGGGGACTGAGGCTCCCGGCCGAGGCTGAGGGCAGCGACGGCCGGGCCGGCACCTCCTGCTCTCTGCGAGCGGCCCCAGGCCGGCTGCAGCCGGGCGCAGGAGCCAGCGCGCGCTAACCGGGGCCGTCCTCTKGAGCTGCGACACTAGGGGGAAGCACGAAGCAAGCTTCTCCGCGAGAAGG